ATGATACCAATGTTGCTAAGATTGTAGACCCCTATTTTTCTTTATTGTTTTCTGCTACCTTCGTGTTAGACAAAAGTTGCCATAACTCATCTTGTGATTCGTGTTAAGCTAGACAAACACACGAAACTGAGGTATGATCTAATAGATAGGTCTACCAGAATGAAAGAAGATCGAAGAATGAAGATAAGCTACAACAGCCGAAGTATATATCTCTCGGCTAAGCCTACAAGTAAAGAAATATCTCTTAAAGCTGCTTATCTAGACGAAAGATAAAGTCAATCTTTCCTTAAGAGACTTTAAGTCTAAGTCAGACTTTCGAGACAATCCTTTTCTAAGAACACAAGAAGAATGTTGTCTAAGTCTCAGCAGGGCAATCGTTCTTGGAAAGAGTAATCCTAAGAATAAGGTGCACACCAACCAAGGAGTTGGTACTTCATGACAGAGCTAGAAGACAAAATTTGCAGATGTTCTTGCTACCAACGGCTACATGGTACAGCCGCATTAAATGCATGGTGAATCACACTCAAGGGCCAACAATGATTCAACAACCAAGCAGTGATGAAGGTATCTCATTCACTCAAAATGACTTTAAGAAGTTTCTGGAATTTGTTCAAATGCAGAAATTATCTGGGGAGAAGGGATCCTTGAGTACACCTTTTGACCAGCCAGCTCAGGGGACACATGCCAACATCATATCTGCTAATCTCATGCCTGGGGCTCAAACTGAAGGTACTGATCCTTCCTCTAACTCTGCAAATGTTAAAGAATATAAATGGATATTGGATAGTGGTGCTACCCACCATATTGTGTGTTGCTTAAGCCTGTTGACAGATCCAAAGGAAGCCTATAATATGCATGTTAGCCTGCCTAATGGGCAGCAAGTGGCCATTACTTATGTTGGATCTGTACACCTGTCACATGAATTCATACTGCACAATGTGCTCTTTGTTCCTGGTTTTCAATATAATCTCATATCTATGGGAGCCTTCATTAAAAGCTCCAATTGTACTATAGAGCTGCAAACTGATAAGTGCACAATACAGGGTGCTATCCATGGCAAGATGATTGGGCTGGCTGAACTCAAGAATGGCTTATATCATTTGATTTTCCCTGTTAGACCCTCTGTAAATACTGTTCCCATATTGAATAAATGTGCCTTGTGGCATGCTAGGTTAGGGCATGCCTCACATGCCAAGATTCAGTTGCTACATAATGTTGACTCAACAATTCAAGTGAATAAAAGTTTGATTTGTGATTGTTGTCATTATGCAAAACAGAAGAGACTTCCTTTTCAATCCAGTAATTCCATTTCAGCTGCCTGTTTTGATTTACTACACATGGATATTTGGGGTCCCTATAAGGTTGCCACCATTCATGGTCATCATTACTTCCTCACCATAATAGATGACCACAGTAGGGCAGTCTGGGTACATTTGATGAGAAAGAAATCTGAGGTTAGAAGTTTGGTTGTGGGATTCTATAAAATGGTTAAGAATCAGTTTGGAGTGCACATCAAGAACATAAGGACAGATAATGGTCTAGAGTTTGCCATGTCTGATTTTTTTAGTCAAGAAGGAATACTGCATCAAACATCTTGCACATACACACCTCAACAGAAAAGTAGGGTTGTGAGAAAGCATGGACACCTCCTATCCATGGCCAGGGCTCTCAGATTCCATGCACATTTTCCAGAGAGCTTCTAAGGAGAATGTGTTCTACATGCAGCCTATCTCATAAATAGGTTGCTCTCTGCTGCTATTAATCAACAGATACCTTGCCATGTCTTGCTCAAAAAGGTTCCATAATACCAGCATTTGAAGGTTTTTGGTTGTTTAGCCTATGTTGCCACCTTGGGTCCAAAGTTGAAGTTTGATGCTAGGGCCAAGAAGTGTGTTTTTTGGGCTATGCCAATGAAACTAAAGGATATAAACTCTATGATCTATACTCCAAAGTGATGTTTCTGTCAAGAGATGTGGAATTTTATGAAGATATGTTTCCTTTTCAGTTAACTGCTCATCCTGAGAAGCAACCTCCCCAGATCATTCTCCCATGTGATACATCAACAGGCCATCTTGATGACTCTCAAGGCCAATCCAATATTACTCTTGACAGTCCTGAGCCTCACAGTTTTGACAGTCCTGAGCCTCACAGCCTTGACAGTCCTGAAGATCAGTCATATGTTGAGCCTGACAATTCTCAAAACAACTCTCAAAACAACTCACACACTGCTGATAGCCTTGAGCAGTCTCAGATTGTTGAGAAATCACTAGAACAGCCTCAGCAGCCAGCAATCAATAGATCCACCAGGCAGAAGTATACCCCAACTTACCTAGGGGACTATGAGTGTCAAAGTTCTGTTGTAAAGTCCTCCCCTCATGACATATCTAAGGTGGTAAATTATACTAAACTCTCAACCTCTTTCCACTCATTTGTCATGAATATTACTTGTCATATTGAACCTAGAAACTACAAGGAAGCAACAATGTATGATTGCTGGAAGAAAGCCATGAATGGTGAATTGGATGCCTTGAAGGCCAATAATACTTGGGAGTTGGTGGACCTACCACCATCTAAGAAACATATTGGGTGCAGATGGGTTTACAAGATTAAGCATAAGGCTGATGGAACCATTGATAGGTACAAAGCAAGACTGGTGGCCAAAGGTTATACACAAACTCTTGGCATTGATTATTTGGACACATTTAGTCCAGTGGCCAAAATGACCACTATCAGGACTCTCCTAGCCATTGCAGTTGCAAAGGGGTGGCACCTTCACCAAATGGATGTTAACAATGCCTTTCTTCATGGAGACTTAGAGGAAGAGGTTTACATGGAACTGCCTCTTAGATATACAGAAGGGAAGGCTGGAAAGGTTTGCAAATTAATAAAGTCCTTGTATGGTCTTAAACAAGCTAGTAGACAATGGAACAACAAGCTATGTGCTACCTTGCAGAATATGGGATTCAGACAGTCTGTTCCAGACAATTCTTTGTTCACCAAAGGAGGTGGATCATCATTCATAGCCCTACTAGTTTATGTTGATGATATAGTAGTGGCCAGTGCTAATCTAAAGCTAATCCAACAAGTTAAAGTTCATCTTAATAATCAGTTCCAAATTAAAGACTTGGGGCAGCTAAGATATTTTCTAGGCTTAGAAGTAGCCAGACAAAAGAAGGGGATTGCAGTATCACAAAGAAAGTATGCTTTGGAGTTGCTAACTGAAGCAGGTTTTCTGGATTCAAAGCCAGTTCACAGTCCTACAGTACCCTCACATAAACTGAGTGCTGGTGAAGGTGAGGTTCTTGATGATAATACTCAATATAGAAGGCTCATTGGAAAGCTTCTGTACCTAACTATTACAAGGCCTGATATATGTTTTGCTACACAACAACTATCACAATTCTTGGACAAGCCTACACACCTACATCTACAGGCTGCTCACAGAGTTCTTAGATACATTAAGAAAGCCCCAGGCCAAGGGTTATTCTCTCCTGCCTCCTCTGATCTACAATTGAAGGCTTTTTTGGACTCTGATTGGGGTGCTTGTGTAGACTCTAGGAAATCAGTGACTGGGTTCTGCATCTTTCTTGGCCAAGCCTTGGTGTCTTGGAAATAAAAAAAAAACAAGCCATGGTGTCCAGATCTTCCTCAGAAGCAGAATATAGAGCTTTATCAACAACCACATGTGAGGTGCAATGGTTACTCTATCTTCTTGCTGAGTTTGGACTGCATCATCATGCTTCAGCTGCTCTCTATTGTGATAGCAAATCTGCAATAGCAATCACTGAGAATCTGGTCTTCCATGAGAAGACTAAGCATATCGAATTAGACTGCCATTTAGTCAGAGAGAAGCTACACAAGGGAGTCATCAGACTCTTCCACATTGCATCTGCAAATCAGCTGGCAGATATCCTAACTAAAGCTCACTGTCCAAGCTCATTCCATAGCTATGTTTCCAAGCTGGGATTGCTCAACTTATACAATCCAGCTTGCGGGGGGATTTCAAGAAATAATAACGAAGCAGAAGCATAACTAATCAGCTGTTAATTGCAGTTAATAAACCAGCTCTCAACAGCCTTTGTTAGAAGTTAGTTAAAAGTTAGTTAACTTTCACTTAAGGAGCTTGTGTTAGTATATAGTCCATCTCTGTACTCTTTCTGGATTTGATGAATAATGAATGTCCTTTTTACTTCCTTCCAAATCTGTTAGCTCTCAATTCATTCCATTGTCTTTCATTTCCGCAATAGTGGGCACGGAGGAGGATGCCATCACGGTTGCTGTGGCTACCATGGAGGCTGCAGCAGGTGCTGCTCATACAAGGGGGAGCCCGTGGATACAGAGCCATAAGCCTCACCGATATATATATGGATTCCATAAATGCATATGAAATAGTGTGTATTGGCAATCTGTAATATAATAATGCATGTAGTGAAGTAACACTTACAGTTACTTCTCTGCAATATCCTTATCATAAATAAATCAACTGGTTGCCTTACAATTGTTTCCATCTGTTTCTTTCTTTATTTTCCTTAAAGTAGCCGACCACGAAGGTCTGCTGCTCTCTCAAGACTCAAACTTTATGATTGAATATAATTACCCTTCAATTTAGAATATTCTTACGTTCCAGATAAGATACGGTGGTGTTTGAGAAATACGGAGTAGCTGATAGCAAATTTGGTTAACGGGTTTAACTAGCTGATAACATTAGTTGGTTGTAGAAAAATATTTGGTAAAATAATTGATAGCTGATTACATGTAAAATGATCTTTAAGGGTATAATTTATTTTCTCAAAAGACTATTTTGAGAAGCTTTTTACATTTTAGCATTTTAGAGTAATAAGTTGTTACAAAAAACTGATTATCCAAACACTCATGTTGGGTGTTTAACTAAGTCAAACAGCTAATAGTGATCAAACAAGACAAAATTGACTGATAAGCTAACTATGTTACCAAATAGGCTGTCTGCAACAATAAATTATTATGGTGATACAATGCATGTATTAAAAGTATATAGCTACTTGGCCTCTAGGTTTTGGCTTCCAACCCGGTGGATACCCATGCTTTTTATAACATTTATCCTCTGTATGTCCTGTGTATCCACAGAAAGTACACACGGGCTTTTTGTTGTTGCTTGCAAACTTCTTGTAGTTCTGCTGAAAACCACCATTTGCCCTAGCCCTAGTCATTAGAGCACTTCCAATAGCTCCATTCTCACCAGCTTGATGCATTTGGTTAGTAAAACCACTAGATCCAATATGGAACTGTCTCTCTTGCGGTGCTATCATGGAATAAGCTTCACATACATCTGGGAGTGGTCTCATGAGCATCATTTGATTCCTTACACCAGTATACCTATCATGTAAGCCAATAAGGAATATGGACAACTTGTCCTTTTCAACTTGTTCATTTAACTCATTTATCTTCTTGCCACATTCGCATTTAGAAATGCACTGACAAATTGTGGTAGGCCTGAGAATTTGAAGTTCATCCCACAACAATTTTTGTTGAGTGAAGTACTCATTCAAACTGCTATCACCTTGTTTGGTTTGATAGATTTCACACTTGATTTCTGCGATCCTGAAGAGATCCTGTTGGCTGAATCTTCGTTTTAGATATCTCCATATGTCGTATGCAGTGTCAATCCAGAGTGCACTGCGTCCAATCATCGGAAATAATGATCGGATGATCCAAGTCATCACAAGATCGTTGCAGCATTCCCACACTTCGTACTTCCGATCATTTTTCGAAGGTTTGAGAATAGAACCATCGACGAATCTGAGTTTATTTTTGCAAGATAACGCCATTGTCATGGCCCTAGCCCATGGATGATAGTTCGAACCATCCAAGGGTGTGGAGACGAGCATCAACGCTGGACTCTCGTTAGGATGCAGGAAGTAGGGATTCGACTAGGATTCCGGATCGTATGTCACCTCTGTCACGTTTGATCCGGTCGTCGGAGTTGGAGCAGGCGTCTGGTTTCCAATTGTCGCCGCTGCCGCTGCATTATCCATTGGAGTTCCTCTTGTGCCAATAGATGGCCACGCTGTTGTTGCCATGACGATTTACTTCAGAAAGCTCTCAGTGGCTCTGATACCATATTGCGGAAATGAAAGACAAGGGAACGAATTGAGAGCTAACAGATTTGGAAGGAAGTAAAAGGACATTCATTATTCATCAAATCCAGAAAGAGTACAGAGATGGACTATATACTAACACAAACTCCTGAACTGAAAATTAACTAACTTCTAACAAAGGCTGTTGAGAGTTGATTTATTAACTGCTATTAACAGCTGATTAGTTATGCTTCTGCTTCGTTATTATTCCTTGAAACCCACCGCCGTGTCCACCGTGACCATAGCCGCCACCGCCGTGCCCACCGTGCCCATACCCACCACCGCCATGTCCACCGTGCCCATATCCATTTTCCCATCCACGTCCAAATCCAGCAACCCCACTTGCTTTCTCAGCTTTTGTTGCTACACCACCAGAATATAGATGCTTATAATTAGCAAATAATCAAACTAATTATTACCAATATATCTGTACAAGGATGTCATATCTAAGGCCAATAAATTTAATTAACAAAAGTATTAAATCACCGCTAAAGATCTCACTGTTTCTGTTTTATTCCAGTGACCTTCCCTCAAGGAAAGCTAGGGAGGTGTCATCTGAGCAAAATGTCATATTTTATTTTACTTGTTGTCAATACATTTTATATCATCAATAAATTAGAGTAATGTACGCACTATATAATTAATTATAATAACTTACGTTCAACTGAAGTAGTAGTAGTCTCGGCCGTAACCTCGGAAGCGATCAAGAGAAACACAGTCAAAGAAAGGCCGAGGAGAACAAAAACCTTTGAACCCATTTTTAAAAAGTCTTTACTATGTAAGATTGATAGTTGAAGGATGAAGAAAACTGAAGAAATGATGTGTGTATTCAGTATTTATAGGAGGATAAGGTGTTCATGTTAGTACGTAGAGACACAGCTCATTAATAGTGTTGGACCACTGTGTTTATGGTTTTCAAATCTACACAGATCTTTACTACTTTGACTTGGTCGTATGGTTACAGCAATATAATAATTCTGTACTTCTATTTTCATATATTTCTTGTTATATATATATATATAGGGTAGGGTTCCAGTGAGAACATGTGCTTAGGTGAGAATGTGAGAACACATCATGTGCATCCATCTAATATTTTTTAATGGTCAATATTAGATTAAGTGTGTGCGAACGCGCATTAAATGTGAGCAAACGCGACTTAGTGCGTTTGCACGCATTTAATGTGCGTTCGCACACACTTAATCTAACCTAGACCATTAAAAAATATTAGATGGATGCACATGATGTGTTCTCACGTTCTCACCTAAACACATGTTCTCATATGATCCTAAATCTATATATATATATATATATATATATATATATATATATATATATATATATATATATATATATATATATATATATATATTTTATTATTTTTTTTTTGGTTCCTGTGAGGTCAGGTCTTCCCGTGCGATCAGTGCGGCATACACCATTAAGTATGCATACAGTGTTCGAAAATACACCAGAATGAAATGTCAAAAAAATACACCACACATAATGATGTATTTACGAACACTGTGTGGTGCATTTATGCATACCTAATGGTGTATGCCGCACTAACCGCACGGGAAGACCTGACCTCAGAAGAACCTGACCTATATATATATATATATATATATATATATATATATATATATATATATATATATATATATATATATATATATATATATATAGAAGAGTGCTCATATGCGGCGGGGTCTTACGGTGCGGCGGTGCGGTCAAATTCCAGAATACACCAACAGTGTTAACAATATGCACCAACAGTGTAATAAAAACACACCCCAATGAAATGTAATAAAACATCACAAAATACACCACAGACTCAAAAAAACACACCATATAACTCACCACCCCCAATGGTGTATTTCCGAACAGTGTATGGTGTTTTTACTCACACCTAATGGTGTGTGTTTGGTGATGCGGGGCTCTGTTTACTCTATTTTGTGTGGTGTATTTCCTAACGTTGATGGTGCATATTTGGTGAACTATTGGTGTTGCCGCACCGTAAGAAATAACCGCACCGTAAGACACTGCCGCACCTGAACCCGCCTATATATATATATATATATATATATATATATATATATATATATGGGCGATCAAGTGTAGCCATGTTGTAGGTGTGGTCATATGGTCAATTACAGGCCATTAGATTAGATAGATGCAATGAATCCCATTAATCAAAATTCTTCCCGTATTTTCGCGCACGGTCTCCTACGCAGCGAACTGTAAGGGTAAACTCGTCATAAGGCACCGAAATAAGAGAAATTACATTGTTGTGTGTTTTATTTGTGTAATTGGTGCATTGTTAGCCTTACTCTGGTGTATTTGTAGATTCCCATTGGTGCCAAGTTTACGTGCGGCAACGCCTTCCCGTGTAGTCAGTGCGGCCGCACCAATTGTTATACAAATATACACCATCCATGTTATGAAATGCACAGCAAAAACATACACAAATTAGGTACGCATCACAAAGAACGCACCATTAGATATGAATAAATACACCATATAGTGTTCGGGAAATATACACTATTGGTGTGTTTCACTGTGGTGTGTTTTATTACACTATTGGTGCATGTTGTCAACATTTTTTGTGTATTCTGGAACCCGGCCGCTATAAATGTCCAATGTAATTACCATAACACCCCCACTTACCAAAACGCGCGAAAATCCTCAAATCCTTATAATTAGCCACTGTCGTTAGATTAAACTGATTCAACGACACAGATATGACCACACCGCCACACCTAATGACATGACAACATATGAGCGCTCATATATATATATATATATATATATGGGGAAGGGATCAGGTGCGGGAATGGCTTCCCGTGTGGTTGTGCGATTAGACGCACATTAAGCATTAAACTGGCGCACTTTAAGTACACAACACATGCACATTAAGCACACAAACAAAATACTTTAAGAACATAAATCACACACCTTAAGAACACAAACCACGCACCTTAAGCACATAACAAAGCACCTTAAGAACACAAACCACGCACCTAAGGTTTTAAAAATGATTCATTTTAAGTTTCACACAACTAATGCACCTTAAGCATACAAATCACGCACCTTAAGGATTAAAACAACGCACATTAAGAAGGAACTCACGCACCTAAGTTTAAGCAACTACTCACATTAAACATAAATCCACGCACCTTAAGCACAAATTAAAACTCACACACCTTAAAGCACGCTCATGCACCATAAGCATAAAACCCACGCACCTTAAGCACAAAACTCACGCACCTTATGTTTCAACAACTACTACCATTAAGTACACAACTCACACACCTTAAGCACAAAACTTACGCATCGTACGCAGAAGACTCACGCACCTTATATACAAAACTCACGCACCTTAATCACAAAACTAATCACCTTAATTTTGACCTAAATGCAAAAATTACCAAATTGTCACCGTATTTTTTTTTAATTTTGGTAATCTTGGACGTTGATTTAAGCAGAATCAATGGCTCTGTTTTAACCGCACAACCACTCCTGGGCTGTCCACCGCACATGAACCTATTGTGTGTGTGTGTGCGCGCGCGCGCGAATGAGCTCCCATGTGAAAAATGTGCATAAATCTCATATTTAATCAAGATCAACTGCTTTTTTTAAAAAAAAAAAAAAAAATTCGACACTTCTAATCTATAAAAATATGCATTGAAAGGCATAACAATGTACACTGGAAAACAACAAATATGTACTACAAGACACAAATTAAAATGTGCAATCAAAGCAATTATGATACTGGGATTGGAGGGGGAAAAGGAGGCTGCAGAAATACATCCGGGGATTGGAGACCTTGGGGCAAGCACATCTGGGACAAAGAAAGATGAAAATGTGCAGCAGAATGTTCAAGAAGGGATCTATGACACTGGGAGAGAGGGAGCAGGAAGGGGGAGGGGAGGATCAGTTAGAGGGAGAGGGGGTAGAAACGCAAATAATTATGGAGGAGGTAGGGGGCAGTTTAGAAAGCAAAATACTGGAGTGGTGATTAGGGAGCCTTGTGAGGGGGAACCAGTGGTGGAGAAGGAGACAACTCAGTATGGGAAGGGGAAAGAAAAGGAAGCAGAAAGGGTGCAGGTGGTTGAAGGGGGTGGTTTCAATGCCCTGTACGATGTTGATGAGGAAGGAAATCAAATAAAGCCAGAGGAGATTGATCCTGGACCAGAACTTGTACCAGGCCAGGACAAGGCAGCCCATAAGGATGATGTCTCTGATGAATTGTCTGATGTTAGGGACTCAAGTGAAGAACAAGAACAGAATCAAAGGGTTGCTGAAAATGAAGTAGAAATTGAAAATGATTGTAAGAGGATGCATGTATCACCAGTGGGAACAAGGACAAGGGCTCAGGTTAGTCAGAACTTGAACCCTCAGCAGAATCAGGAGCAAAACCAACCTCAAAGGTCTATCAAGAGGGGCAAGAAGGCATCTCCTAGGAAAAAAAGATGAAAGTTATATGTTGGAATGTGAGGGGAGTGGGCTCCCAAGGCTCCCCTCATAGGATCAAAAACTTGGTGAGAATGTATAGGCCAAAAATTGTGTGTCTGTTGGAGCCATTTAGAGATGCTGCACAAATAAAAACTTTTGCAATATCAATTGGGCTTAGTGATGCTCAATTGTCAAAGTTGCTAGAGAAGGATTCGGCCTTTGGGCCTTTTACATGAGTAAGCCGTGGGCTTTTGGTGGCAGTTTAAGGAGGGGCCTTTGGGCCTGGTTCTATTTAGGCCATTTGGCCTCTTTTGATTTAGGCTCATGGGCCTTTTAGTCTTATAGCCTTTTGTGGTGGGGTGGTCACTTTTGGGCCACTCTTGTACATATATTGTGAGCCATGGCTCACTTTTGGAGCCATGGCGTTCTTGTAAAGGCGTTTGCCTCTTTTTGATGGAATAAATGCACAGTTCATATTAAAAAAAAAAAAAAAAAAAAAAAAAAAGCAATTATGATACCAAAAAGGGGAGTTATTCAACTTCAGTGTTATTTATCCTCACAAATCAATGAGTGGAATGCCAAATTTTCTCGAAAAGTATTGTGGGATGGGGACCAGATTTGGTCCAGAAAATGCTACTTGGACTATTGGGAGTTGAAGTCCAAGTTGCCTAGCTAGATAGCTTGTTACATGTGGCTGTTAGTGAACTTATTGCATAATATGAAAAAGACATTAAGGCTCCGTTTGGAAAGCAGGAAAATGACTTTTGGAAAATATTTTTTTTTTTGGGTGTTTGGTTACACAACGGAAGACTGTCTTTGTGTATTTGGTTCATTTTCCAAAAATGAGTAGGAAAATAAAAATAAATAAATACTTTAAAATTTTAATTATTTGATACTTTTGATAAATCCTTTTGTGAATAACACTCTTTTGATATATATATATATATATATATATATATATATATATATATATATATATATATATATATATATATATATATATATATATATATATATATATATAACATTTTAAAAAATATAACTTTTTTTTAAAATTTTTAAATACAAAAAAATTAATATTATTTGTAGACTTTTTTTTTTTTGAACTTTGAATTGAAAAAAAAAAAACCCAGCAGACCGGCCCGTGGGGCCCGTCAACCCTCATGGGACGGACTTTGGTTGCAAGAACCCTAGCTTGCGAGTTTGGTGGGCCGACTCGCAAAAGTCCGCAAAAAGTTAGGTCGAAAATTTTTACATGTGCATCTCTTGAAAAATGACTTTCCAAAAAAAAAAGGGGGAATACCTATTTTCCCATCATTTTCCATTGACCTCATTTTCCTCCTCTCTTGTCAAATACTAGAAATTC